ATCTGGCTGGCAGGTCGCAGTTTGGGGACCCCTATTCTAACAGAACTAGAAATATGCTGACACAGCGGATTCTGGATTCTATATTCTCTCAATTATTAACTAGGAATAAGAATGCAGATCAGGAAAGTCTAAAACAAGTCAAACGTTTTACTGTGCATATTTGTTTTGGGTTAGTAACAAAGTATTTAATCATGAAATCCAGGATACTAGCATGTCCAGAACAAGCACAGCAGCCTCCAAGTTTCTCTCACATTACCTTTAAAGGTAACCTTAAGGGCACCATTTTCCGGACCAGATCTGGTCCAGAAAATGGTGTGAACAGCCGCAGTTCCAGTGCATTCCAGACCAGACAAAATGAGACATGCAGTATTTGTCTGGTCTGGAACGGACTGCACTGGCGTGAACAGAGGCCAGAAATAGCATAGGGATACATTAGGATGCATTTTGGGCCCGCAAACAATCTGGATGTGGTGTGAAGGGGCCCTAACTCACCACAGTTCAGGTCACCTGAGAACAAAAAGAGGGCAAAGTACCAGTCACAGTATTGCCTGTGGCCTCCCTCCAGCTGGTCTTTTCCCCAATACTGACTTATGCCTTGTTCTGCACTGTGTATATACTGTATATATAAATGAGAGATGCTGGAATCTCTTGTTATGTGTGTCCAACCATTGTGATGACAGTCTCATACGAAGGGCTTAAACACTTTGAGGTGGCTGCTTCTACATACTGGACAACTCCCAAAACAAATAGGAGGCCTTAGGAACATCCAACTGAAGAACAAAAAAAAAACCACAAGTAGTAGAGTCTAAAGTAAATCTTCAAGTCAAAAGATCAACAGGATAAAAAAGCCAATGCATTTCAGGGGTTCACACAATCCCCCTTTATTAGGGCTTGTAAAATGTATGGAGAAAAACCCTTTTAGAAATAATTGGACTTCAGACTGCTCTATTTGCACACATCTGCCTGATGGTGGTAACTATCATTTCTTCACATCCTAGAGTCCAAATAGTCAATGTATTTATCAATATATTTTACATGCCCTGATGAAGGGGGGATGTGTGGACCCCCCGAAACATGTTGGTTTTTATCCTGTTGATCTTGTCTTTAGGAAAACTTTGGACTCTACTATTGGTGGTGGCCCTTTTAGCTTTAATTGTTCTGCACTGTGTCTCTGTGTGGAGGCTGCCATTTTGTCTGAGGAGCAGAAATGTGCTGCTTCTTGTCAGAGCTGCCCCCTGATGACTAATGGGGGATGAACAGGTGCAGGAAACACAGAAGGGATGTAGCAGAAACAAGTCATTATAGGGGATCTTTCACTCTAGCAAATAGAACAATGAGTAGCACAGTAGTAACATCACCAAATCTCATGAGACTAGCAGTCACATACAGCAGTGCCTCTCACACTGCAGATATACAACCATGAGGCTGAGGCAGCCATGCAGTATTACAGTAATAAATTAAGAAGGTTCAATCCAGCTTTAAGAGAAAAAGTACATCTTTTAGAGTACTGCTTTGGTAAAAAGTTACCAGTTCTAGATTTTCCTCCCTATAACACAGCAAACCTTAACTTTTTGAGTTCACAAAATATAAGGAGATGAAATACAATTTTACTGTGGAACAAATTTTAGACTGGTACATTGTTCTCCTAAATTTAATAGCCTCCTTGGCACTATGTTGTCTTAGAATTTTTTTTAAACTTTTTTCCTTTTTCTAAAAAAAATGTAAAACTGCTTACATTTTTTTTTTTTAAACTAGGGAGGAACTAAAGGTTATTTTTTTAATTTACATGGGCTTTTGATACTAAGTATTCCGAGTAGATATTGTATTCTCCTCAGAGGTACTTTGCATTACACAGCCGGCTTCCAGTTCCACGGCACAGTGAGCCGAATGCCGGCTTGGTGGCTGCCACAGCACGGCAATCACAGCGATCAGCTATCACAGTGATCACTGTGTTGTGACCACTTAAATTGCTGTTGAGGGTCTGCCTTGGACCCCGAGGGACCCATCAACAGCATTAACTCAATGAGTGCTGGTCCACTCACGGACCAGCTCTCATTGTACCGCATGACGGGATTATCCCGTCACCGGTCATTAAGGAACTGAAAGACCATTTCAGAATAATCCCTTCATCATTCAGGAAGGGGTTAAAGAAGAATTCAGTCTTTCAGTGCTTTCTTTTAACTTTTAATAGCTTATAGAAGAACTCTGGGCAAACTTTTTCTTAAAAGAGAACTATGGCCCAACCTTTTTTTGCCATAGTTCTCTTTAGGGTCACGGGAGGACATATACTAATGTCCTCCTGTGACCCAAAACTCAGCATATAGCAAACCATTGCCCACTATTTGCTGAGAGCACAGAGCTGCACTGCAGCCAGGACGTATCCCAACAATATAGTCGTGGTCCAACAAGCTGTCTGATTGAAGGCTGGCTCTGCCTCTCTAGAGCCCGCTGTGCCCATCCCCTCCACTGTCCCTCCCTCAAGTCAGAGCTGCAGTAACAGAGGGCTGGGGGATTCACAGCTCTCTGCAGGGAAATGATCGGGTACGGAGCGATCAGTCAGTTCTCGATCTATAGAGCTGACGTGGGACAGCTTTAGTGTCACACGTTGGCTCTAATTATGGGGATGAGTGCATTTCACTCTCCCCATAATTCTCCTTTAAGGACATCAACAACTTCATCATCAACTTGCAATCCTGCATATGAAACTGGTTAGATGGTAGCTTTCCCAATAATTGAAAAACAAATTAAAAGGAGAACTATGAGGTGAGTGCTTTTCATTTTTTATTATGCCTCACCAATCATAGCTATTATGAAGCCAGGTCCGGTTCTGTGCGATCAAAATGCTAAAAGCACTATTTTGATCGCACCGCAGGTACAATGTGCCTTGCGATCCCATGCGGCGGATTGCATTGCGGCCGGAGGGCGTGGCTACGGCGCCATTCACTTGAATGGCCCGCCATGCCCCCCTCCTGCCCCACTAAAAATGCGAGGCAGTGCGTTCTGGCCAAAATCGGGCCGGAACGCACTGCATCTAGTGTGACTGAGCCCTTAAAGGAGAACTATGAGGTGAGTGCTTTTCACTCACCTCATAGTTCTAGCCGACCTGTGACAATGAGACTGTCACAGGTCGGCTCAGTAGATCGGGAGTTGAGCGAACACATATCGGCGTTCGCTCACCTCTCGATCCTGTCACGGCTCTCTGGCGTGACAGGGGAGAGGCTGGATTCCCCCCTCCCCGCTCCGATAGCGCTGACTGGCGGAACGGACGGGGGAGGGGGCGGGTACAGCTGGCTCTGCCTCTACATAGGCAGAGCCAGCTGTCAGCCACGCAGCTGGGCGGATCCCGGCACAATTGTCGGGATCCGCTTCAGCTGCTGCGTCTCAGTATACCGCGAGCTACAGCTCTCGGTATACTGAGCCTAGGGTGACGGGAGGACGCTAGTTTGTGTCCTCCCGTTACCCTAAGGAGAACTATGGGGAAAAGCCTTTACCCCATAGTTCTCCTTTAATGTCAACACTTACCTTAAATGATGTCTCTTAATCCGATCTTCTTTCCTGATGTTTTCATCTGTCCCTCCAGCGGTGCCGTGGCTCTCCAATCCAGCGCTGACTTGCTGGTACTTCCGATTCCGCGGTGTCTGCATGCGGGTGCACGCGTCCATAGACTTGTCTTGCGCCTCTGCTCGTCTCCCGGCCGAAAATCCGAACTGCGCATGCGCCCACCCCAAGATGCTTTGCGGCCGCCCGAGCAGTTTAGGGTTCTGGGGCGGGAGCGCGCGGCGAAAACGGGGTAGGTTTAAACCGCTGTTAAAGCGTTTTTGTTTTTTTTAAAAACTTTTTGCCTATATCTACTGCTTGCTAGCAGTAGATATAGGCAAAAAAAAACGGAGGGTTTAGAACCCCTTTAACTATGTATATTTTAGCTACCTTTATAGTTCAATGCAGGTTCCATAGTGCTGGCTCCAACATCAGGGTGAGATTTGTCCAGGCCTGCATTCATTTCAGTGAATGAAGTCCTGCACAGTATATAAAAAGTATGTGAAAAAAAAACCAAAATGATTAAAAGTGTGCAAATGTTTATTTCTAATGTTTTTAAAATATATGAGACATTTCCAAGACTACCCTGAATAAAATAAAACACTGGTACTCCATCAAATCTCTTATTACTTACAAGGTTTAAATTTGGAATCATTTTTCATTTTCAGACAGGAAGCTGGTATGGTATTAAAAAACCAAACAAATCAATGTTTCAGGAATTTCTATTAGCATCCTCTGTGTGTTTGTATAGGCTCCCCCCATGTTTTCTTTACCTGTACTAGCTCAAAGGGGGGCTGGGCTCAGAGAAATTCAAACTACCATTGCTGGCCTCTCCTTAAAATGTTAGGTTACCTTGCTGTCATCCTAATCCAATGGCTTCTACAATCTGGAACCTTGATCTCACTTTCACTAGCAACATGCTTGCTCTTCCAGGTCAGTGAATCCAGCCAGACAACTGGCCTTTTCCAGACAGTGAGCAACTGCAGGCCTTATATTTCTCACACTATAGGTTTTATTCAACCCTTTCAATAATGAACCAATTTTTTTTCCTCACACTGTTACAGGCTGTAGAAGTATCCTAGGCAGTTTCTGGTGAACTCATGGGAACAAATATGTTATTCTCACCTGGGTAAGAACAATGGAAGTGTAACCAAAAAAGTATTTGCAAAAACATATACGTGCAGTCATATAAAAAGAGGGGGGCATTAATATTACGGTAAGAGTAGGGAAAAAAAAAAAAAAGAATGTAGGTTCACTTTAATGCCTAGAATATGGAGATACAAGGACCCCAGCTCTAGAGAGAAATCAGTGCACACAGAGACAGAGTACAGCCAGCAGAATTAACACAATCTACCGTGGGATGTAAATGGTTCTACGGTATATTGCTATGAGTACATGTCCTCCTAAACTTTCCACACACACGGAAACACCAGAGGGCCGACTCTAAAGTACGGTAAACCCACCTCACCTGGATATAGGAAAGTCACAGCTTCCGCCGGTCCCGCCCCGAGCTCGTATCACTGTGCCTCTCCGCTATGGAATCCGGTCCCCTCCCAACCACAAACCTCCTACATCCCACAGTGCACTGCGGCCGTACCCGACTCGATGGTATGTGACTGAGCGGAGCATAGTAGAGACAGACTGCGGGCGTGCTAGAGCGTCTCCCAGACCTGGCTGTTAGGGAGCTACTTGTGGGAGAGTGGCGAGCACAGCACATATACAATACAAAGTCTATGGGACTGACGTATGAAAAGTATTCTAATGGGAACATTTCTAGTCACCCATAGCATCCTGCCATTCCTTTAGTCCAGGTTGGAAAATCAAAGTCACACTTTATTATTCATCAGACTCTAGGGAGCTGAATTACTAAAAGAAAAGCTACAGGATAACCCATCATTAAAGGGGAACTCAATGGAGCTGAATTACTAAAGGAAATGCTACAGGCTAACCCATCATTAAATAAGAACTCTAGGGAGCTGAATTACTAAAGGAAAGCCTACAGGATAACCCATCATTAAAGAAGAACTCTAGATTATAGAACAATTAACCCTTGGAGTGGGCTACCCCTGCAGCGCAAGGGTTAACTGCTTGTTTTTTTCTCTCTAGGTGCAAAAATAGAGAAGAAATACCCGCCACACTCGCTTTTGTATGACTAATGGGCAGTTAGTCTTTCAATACATAAAAGGACAGAGAGTCCACAGTGTGAGCCACCTTATCACTGCTCCAACCAACCAATATGAAGATATATATATATGGTGTAAATATATAGAACATTCTCACCCAAGTCCTGGGTCTCCAGGAGGTTGTTTAACGTCCCAATGTAACATGCAAATTCAGCTTGTATTCCAATACATCCAAGTGTTTAGCATGATCTCAAAAGTGGATGTCCTTTCACTCATGTATACTACAGAGTGCACATCTGCTGAGCCAATCCGGCATCTGTGTCTCCGCACACACCAGAGAGCCATTAACAATCTGACATGTTTCGCCACATACCACGTGGCCACATACCTTTGAAAAAGCTCCAAGATGGAGCGAAACATGACCCGAATGGCATTCAGGAGTCCGAACTCTGAATATAGCATTCAGGAGCTCCCGAATGCCATTCTGGTCTGGGAGCCTCAGCCGTCTGAGTTGTTGTTATTATGATGACACCTCAGCTCCCAGACCCGAATGCTATATTCAGAGTTCGGACTCCTGAATGCCGTTTGGATTTGAGAGCCAAGGTGTCATCATAATAACAACAACTCAGTTGGCTGAGGGTCCCAGACCCGAATAGCATTCGGGAGCTCCCGAATGTTATTTGGTGTTTGGGCTTCTGAATACCATTCTGGCCTGGGAGCCTCAGCCGACCGAGTTGTTGTTATTATGAATGATGACACCTCAGCTCCCAGACCCGTATGCTATATTCAGAGTTCGGACTCCTGAATGCCATTTGGATTTGGGAGCCAAGGTGTCATCATAATAACAACAACTCAGTTGGCCGTGGGTCCCAGACCCGAATAGCATTCGGGAGCTCCCGAATAGCATTCGGGAGCTCCCGAATGTTATTCGGCGTTTGGGCTCCTGAATGCCATTCTGGCATGGGAGCCTCTGCTGACCGAGTTGTTAATATGGTTAAAGATAGTATTCACCAGCACTCACAATGGGCGGCCCTGAAACATTGGCTTCTTGACACATGTGACATATCAATAAAAGTGCTATCCTTTTTGCACATTACAAGTGAGTGCTGGTGACTTCTGTCTTTACTTGGATTGTTACACGTCGTCATCCGTATCATCATTTCGAGCACCAACGGATATTTCGTTTGGTTCAAGCTCTCTATGGTGTGCAGGTGATTCTCTAACGTTAATATGATGACACCTCGGCTCCCAGACCCGAATGGCATTTGGGAGCTCTCAAATGCAATATTTTGAGTTCAGACTACCGAATGTCATTCAGGTCTGGGAGCCTCAGCCGAGAGCCAACCAAGTTGCTCTTATTATGACACCTCAGCTCCCAGACCCGAATGGCATTTGGGAGCTCTCAAATGCTATTCGGAGTTCGGACTCCTGAATGCCATTCCGGTCTGGGAGCCTCAGCCAAGAGCCCACCGAGTTGTTCTTATTATGACACCTCATCTCTCAGACCCGAATGGCATTCGGATACTCTCAAATGCTATTCGGAGTTCGGACTCACGAATGCCATTCTAGTCTGGGAGCCTCAGCCAAGAGCCGACCGAGTTGTTCATATTATGACACCTCAGCTCCCAGACCCGAATGGCATTCGGGAGCTCACAAATGCTGTTCGGAGTGCGGATTCGAGAATGTCATTCGGGTCTGGGAGCCTCAGCCGAGAGCAGACCGAGTTGTTCTTGTTATGACACCTCAGCTCCCCGACCTGAATTGCATTCAGGAGCTCTCAAAGGCTATTCAAAGTTTGGACTCCCGAATTCCATTCGGGAACATAGTTGTTGTTGTTAGATGACAGTTGGTACCAAATCTAGACAAATGGACGGAACAGGTCCCATGACGTACCCCTTACTCATTTACAAGGGGGGGGGGGAAGCATCTGGGAGCCCCCTTTCATACAGATAAGCCTCCCTGCCCGCAGACCCCCACAATCACTGGGACAGGGTTGTGGGGAAGAAGCCCTTGTCCTCATCGCCATGAGGGCAAGGTGCTTTTCCAGGGGGTCCTCCCCTGGCAAAGCACCCTCCCCATGTTGAGGGCATGTGGCCTGGCATAGTGCAGGGGGGGGGTGCTTGTTCATCCCCCCATCAGGGGTCCCTCCTAACATTTCTACTAGACCTAAAAGGTCTGATATCAATTGGGGAGGGGAACTCCATGCTTTTTTTTTTAGTTTGTTCGGAAAGAAATTTGGATGCATTTGAAAATTCCAAATGTCTGAATTTCAATTCAGAACGAAACGAATCGCACATGTCTAGTTTCAAGTCAGGTTCAGGTCAATTCTGAGAAAACATCTAGGAAGACACCCACTACAGGGGGAAGAGGGCCACATAATAAGTGCCAAGGTGTCACCAGTTGGGCATCAGGTGGCTATCTTCCCTGACAAGCTGTGGTGAGTAATTCATGCATGTCTGTAATGGTTGATCTCTTAAACGATTTTGTTTTATGGACATAGCATGTATTCTTGTAATTTATATGTAAAGCAGTAGAACATATTATAATCCTGCAAATCATAAGTTATTTATGTTGCACAATCCAGATACCAAATGTATTAACAACAAAGCATCTCTGAATATGTTGGGTTGGGAATTTTTTCAACACTAGTTGGTGATTGGACTTCCTCTTTTTGTTGGTTTCCAATCTAAGTTGTGATACTCTGCAGTAAAAACAAATAAATGAACCTGGTGACATTTTTCTGTGTTGGGCTTATTTAAAATAAAAGGGCTACGTTACAGTACCATGCTGCACAATTAAGCTCTTAAAGGGTTATTAAAGCCTTGGCATGTTTTTGCATATATCTACAGCTAGCAAGCAGTAGATATATGCAAAAACTTTTTAAAAAAAACCTTTTCAAACAGGTTTACACTTACCTGTGTCTTTGCCGCGTGCTCCTACCTGAACATCTGAAGAGTCTCGGCGGCCGCGAAGGATCTTGGGGCGGGCGCATGCGCAGTTTAGATGTTGAGCCGGGAAATGAGGAGAGACACAAGGTAAGTCTATGGAACAGCGTGCAACCACACAGACTCCGTGGGACGTCAGAGAAGAGGAGGACAGAGGAAGAGGAGGACAGAGTAGTCAGCGATGGATCGGATACCCGCACTAACGCTGGAGGGACATCTGAAAACTACACTAAAGAAAGAGATGATCGGATGTGAAAGGTGATATCATGTCACATTTTAAAGAGGATCTTTACCCTTATCTTTGAAAAGACAACAAATACACATTTAGAAATGTTTAGTAATGACAATCTACAAACACATACTTCTAGATAATTGCTGGCTTTTTTATCCTTTGCATACCTTATTTTTCTTTTCCTCCCCATTCTTCTCAGGGTGGCCATTTTTACTAAGGGCAGGGGAATCCATCTCCATTTACTTCCTCTGGCACATGTGACTAAGACATGTGACCATGCACATAATCTCATGGAAGGAAAATGCCTTTGCCTGAGATCTCGAGAGATTACAAATGAGATTTCTCAGCAATGTACTGTGATGTAACCTTCCCAGGATGCAACATTTGGGCACATTACATCACTAATGCCCAAACAGACCAGGAAGTGGAAAAACAATAACTGTAAGTAAAATAAAAATATGTTTGTTTAACTTATGAATGTAAGACGATTTTATATCAGCATGTAGAACTGCATGCTGAGGTGATTTTTAGTGAAAGGGGGTAAAGGTCCACTTGAAAACAAGTTTCATATCCTAGTTGTTCTTTCGACTGTTAATGACACAAAAAAATACTGTGTTTTGACAACTATACGCAGGTTAATGATGTATGTAATAGTGATCCTTTCACATTGTAGAGACATTTTGCGTGCTAAAGTGCAATGATTGGAGGTTTGAATGAATACATTCTTATCCTATTGGTAAATTATTCTCATCTGAATGTAAGATATTGCATTCCATTTCACAGAATTTATAGCCATAAAAATGTCTGTCTCCACGTTTTAAATCAACCTGCAATAAGTAGGTGGAGGGAGCTGTCAGCCTTTCAAAAGTTAGAGTTCAGATTAAGAATCGACCTTTCCCAAGTCTTGTGTTTTCTCCTTTTCCAGCATCAGTTATTGCTGAATTTAGAGTGTTTGTGCCATTGTTGGAGGACAGCTTTTCAGACTTCCTGTTTTAGTAGCACTTAGTATCTTTAATAGGAAACTATCATTTTTTTGCTATTTCTATAAAATTGTGTTTTGTTTTTGTAAACACAAGATACACACTGAATTATCGACTTTCATATTGTATAACACAGAAAAAGCTTATTTTTAGATTCCTTCTCTTTGATTGATACTTTTTACTAAGCTACTAAAACAGGTGGGGAATAGGTGGGAAAACAATGATGACTCATTCAGTTGCATGTGTAAATTCAATTTTGAGCCATTGTTCTCCATAAAAAACAATCTTTTTTTTCTGGTTCCCAGTTAGTT